CAATTGAAATCAAACCCCTGATGGCTAAAAAGCATGATAAAATATTAAATTAGTGGAATATATTACAGTAATTAGTTTAAATTAGTTAAGTACGTCTTTCGTATGGAAGAATATAAGAATCAAGTTTCATCGTATAATAGTCTGAGATAGCTTTTTAAAAGTTACCAAGTTTGTTCAACTTTTGATATCTAGTGGTAGTGAGTTCCAGGTGGAAACGACACGGTGGAAATAAGAGTATTTTAGGTAATTTTGAGCTGCTCGCTGTGTCGTGTAATTCAGGGAGGAAAAGTTACGGGTAATTACACGATGTTGGGCAGAGCACTGTTGTAGGGAGGGATGATTTAGAACTATTAAGCCTAGTCTGTGTTTGTATAAAAGAATCGTGTCTTTCGAATCTCTTCTATGCTCCAAAGGTAACAAGGATAACTTAAGGAGGCGCTGTTTGTAATTGAGATCGTCAGGATAATTTAATATAAATTTTGTAGCCCTGCGTTGCACGTTTTCCAATATCATCTGGTGTTTGATGGTGTATGGTGACCATATTCCATTATGGGGCGTACAATTTTGGCAAAATAGGAGTTTGCGGGTTTCGGAATCCAGAAAATCCCTGCACAATCTTTTCACGAGACCCAAAGTGCGATTGGCTCGTTTGGATAAATGAGAGAATAATTTCTTTTGTTGCCATTATCCTTTAAGCCAACATTTCATAGTACATGGTTTTTTGTAGATGGAATTTTAGAACATAAATTTCCACACACTTTTGAACATAAGCAGGAACAGGTGTGAAAAATGAAACTATAAGGCATCTGGCGGAAATCCAATAGCAGCGTGCACATTAGGGGATTTGAAGGGAGGGTTTGGTTGGAGTGTAAAATATCCAAATTCTTCAACTCAGTTGCCGGAAAGTGCAGGAATCGAAGTGGGATTTCCGAGCCTCATTTTTTCCAATTTTTCTCGGGGAGCATACCCCGAACCCCTTGATTTTACAGCACCTATTAGCTACTCTGTTACAGTTAAATCAAGTTTTGCGTGTCGTGTTTCCACTTGGCTGAAAATCTTAACCATGGTTCCCAACTTAGCTGGAACTGATTAACCTCCCCAAATAAAACCTGTCCCGCTGCCACTGGTTGCAGCTTACAAGAAAATCGGTCCCAGAGAGCCCGAACTCCCCCCACCCCCTAGCAAATTGTTGAATGTGCGCCCCTAAAGTCTGACCTACAGAATCCAGAAGAGGGTACTGCTGTGTCTTAACTGACGTGGCTAAAAATATGTTTTGCGATACAGTTCAGAGGTATATAATTGTGCTGTTTCATAATACAACAACAACTCGTAAGCAATTCCAAAACCACTAAATTCCAGATGATGCATCAATATTCTTTTCATGCATGAAAAGAATGTTGCAACAGTTATGTGTTGTATTAGTTTTACAACATTTTGAATTCAAACTTGTAATAAAAATCTCTCGTCACATCATATTTGGTCACATATAGTCTTCTAAGACAAATTTTGCATTCGCAAATTCGCGCAAAGATCCCATCAGATGCTGCCCTTTCGTTCTTCTTTGTGAAGAACGAGCACACTCCTGGGTAGATTTCCTTGAAAGTGGTAGGAATGTGAAATCGTATTCTTGAAGCCTTAAATTAATCACCATCTTCTTCATACATGCAGGAGGTGGTAAGGCGAGCGGTTCTATATCCAGCTATTTTTTTGTTTCCTCCAGGGTTTTGGACAGCAATCGAAGGTAGCACGCGCATGAAACAGATTGACACAGGAATGACAAGCGAGGTTTGGGCAGTTAATCATAACGATGATGTATTCCGTTTAAAACCAGACAGGACTTGGGAAAATATTGAAGGAAAAATAAAACATGTCACCGCTGGTGAATCAGGTATTATTATAGTTTATATTCTTGCCTCATTGCATCAATGTCGTTATACTAGAGCTTTGGTAGAAAATGCAATTTGAACAAAACTATACTGTGCAAGCAATGTGGTATAACAAGAAAACTCAAAATGACGACTGTGTTCAGGGTCGCTGAAAGGGGGTGGGGATGTGCGTTGGACACTTGGGCCCGGGATTCCAGATCACAAGTGGCCTTCAAAGCGATCAAAGCACTTAAATTTCTTGATAGAAGATTGCTTAACTGAAAAAGTGAATTCTTTCTGCGTTACTGCTAGATAATTATGCAATAACGTGTAAGATATTGTAAAACACCGCTCTCCAGTTTTACAATTATGGCGTTATAGGGCCCGCTGAACCTCTCGGCGGCCCTGACTGTGCTTAACAGTATTATAATATTTGGCTTTAGATTGCGGAATATATTTTTTCTGATTACAATACATTTGTCACGATATAAAACATACCGCAGTATTTCCAGTGAGGCAGTCGTGTATACTCATAAGGCAGAAGTCTCGTCAGATATTCCGTCCGAAGAAAGTTGTGAATGATGACTTTATTGCCGTTAATGCAGCTGCTTTGCATTCCCAGAGATTCTCACTTCGTGGAATTATATGACGCCAAGATTTTTACTATGATTTACTTTGGGCCGAAATTGGAAAGTAAATGGTTGTGATGATATCTATTCTATATATTTTAAATTTTGCTTCCTCTAAAATATATCTGCGAACACTATCGAAAGCGAGGCCATTTTGGTTTGGTCGCGTTTCCATATTTCGTATTCTTATTTTGATACCATGAAGTCATAGCGTTTAATATTATTTTTCATATATCAACATTATGCAGTTACTCTATTTAGTGTTATATCAACAGTATTCAGTTGATATGACGACTTTACAGTTCGTTCGGTGCTTGCCAATCAAAAATCATGAATTCTTTTAAAAAGTAATTATTTAGTGTTTTTTTTACAGCAAGAATGCGACAAATACAAATGCAAATTTCTATATAATGTACTTTCTAATTTTCAAACTTACGAGTTACGAGTTAGGCCAAAAAAAAATATGTGGGTTTCCGATTTCCCGACCCTACCTAGCTTTTGGACGACGGAATCCCGACCCTAAACTTTTTATTGGATCATGCTTGTAAGTGTTTCCATTTGGAGGAAAACGTTTGTGAAAAATGGAAATTTGAGGCAATATTAGGGAAATTTATCTTTGAATGTGGAAGCGCTGACTAAACAAAATGGCGTCCTGTTGTTAGGAAAATTAAAAAGAAAGTTTAAAAAAAAAAGAAAAAAGTCAAAACCGACCTACCCTACCTAAGTTTTTACAAGAAGAAATAGGAAACCCACATACTTTTTTTTGGCCTTATTGCAAAAATGTTTACGGCCTGTTGATATTAGGGATTCGTCATCATACTTGGGCCATTGTGTCCAAAATTTCAGGAAACAATTAACATTTTTATTACCTATTAATAAAATGAATGGGCTTGTAGTTGATGTGTTGTTTGTAAAGTTATGATTGCAAACTGTGCATGAAAAAATCCCCCAGCTCCGTTATATTCTCAATAAAACGCGAACGCGGACGTGCAGACGAACTGACCGTGTCTTATCATATCATTTATCCAAGGATGACAAGTATATGTGCTCACCCTCAAATGCGTCCATCCACAACTGCGTATACGTTATACATAAAATTAATTATTTTAGGTATATGGGGTGTAGATGCAAACAATGACGTTTATCATTATTTCCACTCGGCAAAATGGAAACACGTTCCAGGTATTAAACTCAAACAGATTGATTCCGGTCCCGAAGGAATTGTTGTAGGAGTAACTGAGAGCAACGAAGGTTATTACCGCACTGGAGTGATTAACTCTAACCACGTGGGGAATAAATGGGTGAAAATTGATGGCAGTTTGAGTTATGTTAGCTGTGGAGTGTTGGGGTGCTGGGGAAGTGATAGCAGAGGACATGTTTATTATATTGACGGTATTTCCAGGCGTAATTGTGCGGCTGCCAGTTTGGTGTCAATTGATGGACGAATGAAACAAATTGAAGTTGGAGAAGTAGGTGATGTGTATGCTATTAACTCTGATGGGAATTTACATGTACGTCTGGAGGTATCAGCAGCGAACGTTTTTGGTACGGAATGGAAGCTTTTGCGTGAAGCGTCTTATGTCACAACTGGATGGGCTGGACAATATGTGCTGGTTGACGGTTTTCTTTACCAGTCGTCAGGTAAGCATGTTTAGCGACTGAAAAGTTAGAACATCTATGGCTTGCAACAAATTGAACTTATACTTTCTTAATTGGTCTTTTTATCGGGATTTGAGCCGAGCGATATCTGGTTGGGAAGGGAGAAGGGTCGGGTGTACCAAAAAAATGGAACACCGACACCAGTATTTTTATTATAAAAATGCCGGCGACGGGTGGAATGGAGGTCGACTTTATTTTGCGAAAATAAAGCCTCCCAAAAAAATTTTCAAAACATTATCTTGCTACAATGAGCGATTAAAAATGCTTCTTCACACCTTTTTTCGAACTCAATGTTTCTGAATATTCCTTAATATTTAACACGTTCCGCAATTTCAGCATTCCGGAGCCTCCTCTGTGGAAGTTGGGCCCCCTTTCTTGACTTTTCTTTGTGTTACATCCCCACAATGTTTCACAATATTTTTCTCTAAAAGCCGCTGCATCATTTTTTTTATTACTTTAGTTCTCAAAGTGAAATTATTTTTTCAGATGATGAAGGCCTTTTGCGTACCTCAAAGGGAAATCTTTTACCACATGACACAAGTTGTAGGGCATCATCATGCGTGCAAACTTGTTTTATCGCGGGTGATATCCGAGTTAACGATCAGCAAGCACTAACAGCTTTCCATACTCTTTTCCTTCGCGAACATAACCGCATTGCAAAACAATTAAGGACATTAAACAGACACTGGGATGGTGAAACGATTTTTCAGGAAACCAGAAAAATTGTTGGAGGTGTAAAACAAAAGATCGTCTATGAAGATTACCTGCCTATTCTTCTTGGAACAGATGCTTTACCTGCCTATACGGGCCACAAGGAAGATGTTAATCCGGGCATATTCAATGCGTTTACTCTTGCATACAGACTTGGACACAGCATGATCAGGTCAAAGTTTGATTTATTGAACGCTAATTTTGATCCAATTGTCCCAGCCGTGAAACTCAGATTCCTGTTCTTTAACAGTACTACTGTGAATTCCTATGGTGTCGAGCCAATACTGTTGGGGCTTGTTGGTAATATTTCTGAACGGGTGGATACGCATCTGACAAAAGAGATCACAGAACATTTATTTCAACGCGGAAACAAGCACGGAGAAAATCTTGCTGCCTTGAATATACAACGCTCCCGGGACCACGGCCTTCCAGGCTACAATGCATACAGAGAATTTTGCGGTCTTTCAAAGGCAGCAACGTTTGAAAACACTTCAAACGAAATACAGGATCCGGGAAACAGACGTATCTTGAAAGAATTATACAATGATGACCCCAGTCTAGTTGAATTGTGGGTGGCTGGTATTTCAGAAACCCCTGTTCAAGGCGCTGTGGTCGGTCCAACATTGCGTTGTGTTGTCGGCGAACAGTTCAGGCGAGGAAGAGATGGTGATCGATTCTTCTACGAACACAAGGGTATTTTCACTCCATTCCAACTAGAAGAGATTAAGAAAGCTTCCATCTCGCGCATTTACTGCGATAATGTAAATGGGATCGTATCAATACAAAGAAATGCGTTCAGATCATCAGTAAACCAACGTAGGCCTACATGCTCAGAAATACCAGGAATGTCACTTTGCGCTTGGAAAGGTAAATAATTCAATAAATTTGTTTGATAAGCAAAGCTAGGGTAAAGAGCAAACGTGATTGGTCCGATTTGCGATCATGTGGCTTTACATAAATGCAATGTATTCCGCCGGACAACAAGTGAGGAATTGTTGACGTATAGAAATAAACAAAATGACGACACAACATGCAAGTTTTTATAAACTACGATTTTCAAAGTTTGTTTTAAAATAAAGAATGCACAACATGTAACAGGTTATGCTACTGAAACCGTATTTTAAACTCATTTTCACTACAGTGTTTTTCAGTCTTGAAATATGCAATATTTCTATACTTGCTATCTTATAACAAAACACTTAAATAATTTAATGCCTGTCCCCTCGTGAAATAGTAGTTTTGTTTCCTCTCAGATCTCGATGTTTCCAGCTCGACTTCTTCTCGACATATTAACTCGTTAACACGCGCAGAAGGTCAAAAGATGCTAGTTTTTGTAGCGAAGGAAAACATCGAAAGCCAGAGTTTAACATTCACAAAAAGCAAGCAAAATTACTGAAGAAAATAAACTTGCTTTTACTCAGAAAGATTTAGAAGATAAAGTTTAGAAGATATTGAGTCTATCGGGAAACCAAAACTAGCCATTCCCTCAGGAGCAAATCTAGACGTTAAGTGTATATTAATCGGGCATCATATATTACCCATTCAGATGAATGTGAAGATGAATGTCATTATGTTTATCTGCAATGGCCTTATTGTACAGTAATTGCTGTTTGTCATTACCTAGATTAGCTACCTTTCGCTTTCCATCCGTATAATTTAGTATATATCCAAAAGACATTTTGAGTGCCATAGATTGAGTGGATATTATGTAGCACCTAAAGTATTAACATAGTTTATTTTTTATCAGTGAAAATGAAGCAATCTGATTGGCTGAGGAGCCTTTCAGAGCAGGCCGGTTTTTTGCATCCGGCCCGCTCTGAAACGCAACTGCCCGCTGTGAAATGCAACTGCTCGCTCTGGTTTTCGCGCCAAAAACCGAGGAGTGAAACAATTTTTAAACGAAAAAATCTGCCAAAAACGTTTGAAATTCACAGCCTAACGATAGTCAGAATACGAAAATAAATTGCATCAAGCCCTAAAGACTTCATACTAAGCACGATGTTCACTAGAATTGACAATATTTTAAAACAGCAATATGCATTTTTTATGTTCATTTTATTGACAATATTTTGATAGAAATGCGACTGAAAGTCGGAAAGTTATTTGACATGTATAAAACTTACGTCGAGAAAACTATATATTTTTTAAATGCTCATGTATTCGACCACTTAAAAGCTAAAAAATTACAGCTGAAACAGATATTGTGAAATAAATGTCTTCCCATTTAAAAGAAGGTTTAACTGCAGCAGTGAAAACAAGTCACGAATATATTCTCTGCCCATTTGTGTCATGTATTTTTCACTGATATAAATATTGTAAACAAAGTAAAAATTTGTTTTTAAAAACACTTTTTTCAAGCCTATTATCGTAAAACGACAAGCAAAAATTCAAAAATGTAAAAATAACATACCTTTTTCATTGTGTTTTTAGTAGAAAAACGTTGATTAAATCTAAACAGATTCATTTTTATGTGTTTTTGATAGGACTGAACATGAACCTGTCGTTGTCAGGAGCAACTGATTTTGTCAAAGCCAAAGCCAAAAGCCAGGCATAAAACTTTTTTTCCAAATCTTCTCTGCTATCATATTCATGAAAAAAGCAAGTACATTTTTACTGAAACTATACGTCTTTTTTGTGTTTGTTGCCAGTTTTCTCGAGTTTTCGTATTCGTGTTTTATATCTTTCAACTTTTCAATTTTTATGATTTTGTCAGCCTCGCTTTGAAAATACACAACTGCACTGATCTCAAATTAGTTCGCAAGCAACACTGGAATTCTAATGAATTTAATTAACTTTTACATCTGATAAAAAATAAACACGTTATTTACCGGCAGCGTCGGTCCGGATGAGAAAAACTGTGCCCTCGGTCTTAAAAACGTCCCTCGCCCTTCGGACTCGGGCCGTTTTCAAGACCTCGGGCACAGTTTTTCTCATCCGGACCTCGCAGCCGGTAAATAACATATATATATATACATTACATATAATAATACAGTAATATTTTATTACCGTTCACTCTCGAAGTTATGAAATCTACTTTCATTTAAGAATAGATAGACCATCCAGTTCTCGATTAACTGCGGCACAAAGCGACCATGTAGGTATTTACCTTTTATATATCCATGTACCGGCCGGACGACCCCTCCAACATTGAAACCAGCTTCTGCCGATAGCTAGGGCAAAGTTTTAAAAATAATTAAACAAAGGAATATAATTAGATAACCCACGTTATTTTCCAAAAGGATAGTGTAATAGAAACAGTCAATTAGTTTAAACTGGTTCTCATATGCTTCCACTACATCTTATACCATAGTGCTATACGCCCTTCATTCCTTGCGTATGTACTGTATAATGTGTCTCTTCAATTAGAATAGTTACTTTGGCGAAACGTTACACAAATTCAGATTGGAAATAGATTAGCTGAGGATTAATATTAGCGACTGGATTATAGAAAATAGACGGTTAGGATCGGAAGTAAATTGTCTGAGGAATTTGGTTTGGGGTAGATTAAGGGGAAAATATCGCCGTATTTAATTTGGAAACAGATAACATGCCTTGTATAAAAACACCCTGGCATTTTCAACGTTGTCAAACTATCTCTGCATTAATCGTCTAACAATCCAACTGCTCTTCTTTCTCACTTTATTTAATAATATAGAGTGTTTGACAGGTGAACCTGAGCTCGACTCAGTCACTCAGAAGTGTGACTGTAGCTGCAAAGAAAACCTGACATATTGCCATAGTAAGTGATTTTTATTGATGCAATGGTATATTTGATAATGTCTTTACGAGGGAAAATGCGAAATATATACAGGATATTACACGGTGGCGCGAAGATATGACTTTTATCTTCGTGTGGTGAAAACAATATTTTACGAACGAGCGCAGCGAATGAGTGAAATATTGTTTTTAATAACGCGAGAATACAAAAGTCATATCTTCAAGCTCTGATCTTCAAGTCAGCGTGTAATGTTTTGTTTATTATATAGTCCCAAGCAAAAAACTTGTGAAATTTTACGCTCAAAAAAATTGAGAAAAGTCACGTGGTCGAAATCTTCACTAGTGAAGATATGGAAAATATCTCACTGTGTATTTTTCAGTATCTCACTCTCTACTATATAGTAATATATTATATAAAGTATATTTGAAGTCTTCACAGGGTGGGAGTGGGCAGGGTCGGGAGGGTGCAAGACACCCCGAGTCTCTATCTCGTCGGGTATACCATACAATTTCGTTAGACGAAGTTTGAAAATATTTGAGTGTCTCGGATTGAAAAATAATAGATGCAGGAAATATTTTGATAAATTTACGAAAATATTCCTGAAAAAGTTTCCAAATTACGGTAAAATAATTCGAAAGTTAGTGAAAAATGCTATGCCCGGAAATCTGTCCCCCCTCCCCTCCCCCCGCCCTCGCGAACAATTTTGGAAAAAGAAATATTAATCGGCGACTGAAATATTCATCCGTCGGAAGCGACTTCGGCAACGCCCTTTTGGTCCGGCAAAACAAGTTCACATCCCCCCAGCTGCAATAGCGAAGTTTCACCCCCTGAAAGTCTTCACATGTCACTTTATAATTATGATAAAATAATTTATGGTACATTTGGCGAAAACTACTTTTTGCATGATAAAAGGAGAACCCTCTTACAGCAGGCAAACAGATCTTGATCTTACAGCAAGTACGGTTCTTTGTGCTCCCTATCATGGAATAGGCCTATATACTTTCCCCCTTAGTTTAGTTAATATTTAGTACATTTATTTTGCAATTTTAATTTAATTTCTATATGTTACTCTTGGGACATGCTGCAGAAAATCAACACTATTTTAACCCTATTTTATCCCTATTTTACTTTCTATTTTATTCCTATAAAAAACTATTTTATTTTTAACTCTATCATCTTGCTATCACATATACAAATCCTATATTAAACGTATTATTAGAACTCTGTTTTTATTGTATTTTATAGCTATTATAAATAGATTTTATTTTTCTGAAACGATGAAGCACGGATTAAAATAGGTTTAAAATATGATAAAATATACTTAAAATAGAGTGCAAAACAGAAATAAAATAATAAATTAAAGTGAAACTTTGGTAATAGAATAGATTTTAAATATACATAAAATAGATTAAAAATAGTCGAAAATACATATAAAATAGTGTAAAATAGTGGACCAACTGCAGTATATTAACTAAGAATAGTAATAAAATTTCTGCAAAAATAGTAATAAAATAGTTTAAAAATATGAATAAAATACTGATATAATAGTAATAAAATAGCATAATTTAAAATAGTAATAAAATAGCAAACAAAATAGTAAAAAATAGTTCAAAATTCTTATAAAATAGTATAAAAATAGTAATAAAATTGTAATAAAATAGTCGAGAGTTAATAAAATAGTTATAAAATAGTCAGAAAGTAGCAATAAAATAGTTATAAAACAGCAATAAAAGAATAGTAAAATAGTTATGAAATAGCAATAAAATAGTCAGAATGTAGCAATAAAATAGTTATAAAATAACAATAAAACACCCAAAAATAGTAGCAATGTAACATAGTTAGTAATAAAATTGTAGTATGATAATTAAAACCAGTTAAAAAATAGTAATGAAATAATATCAAAATAGCTGAAAACTAGCAATGCAGAACCATGGTTGACAGGTATATTATCATTTAAAATTGTTTAAAATAATACACACAAAACAGTTTGTATTCTTATTATCTGTCAATGTTAGGTTGTAGCAGTTTGAGGGGGGCGGGGGTGAATGTGGCAGTTTACCATTGTTTACCGCAGCCGAGTTACCAACGTTTGAATAACTGTAAGGAATCTATTACACGATTGGGTTTCAAATCAATTACAGTATGAGCAGTCTAGTAGCAGTTATGGATCAATTGTGAGCTATGTAAAGTTTCAGGACCCATGCCGCATCTTGCAGATCAAGCAGTTATTGCATGCCATTACATGTCAGCTTAATTGTCAGTATTAAAAGGTGAAAATTGGGCAAGCAGACCACAGTTGATAAATAACATTGTCTAGCTTGAGACGTCACAGTTAAATATCGTGTGCAGAACTGCACAGGAGTGTTAAGGAAAATTACATCTAAATATGTCAACATGAAACAGCATGGGCATGAAACATCATGAGTCTAGCTGGACACTTTCCTTGGCAAATAAAATTGTCCAACATTAGGCAAGATACATTAACATTTAACAAACTGCTGAAAATTGTGCACATCGGAGTGAAATGGGTAGTTCCAAAAAAACACATCAGTTCACACTTGCTGTGACTAGCCGGGGTGTTTCTAAAGATATATAAAATGTAGCCCAAAGGTTGTTACATATATTATTAAGCAGATCATGCATGTGGTATATTTATTAGATAAATGTATTCATATATTATATATTGTTTCCAGTTAGGGCACTTCCATAATCAAGTTGCCACACAATACATTAATCAAATTGACATTTTTACCTATTAAGCGACCCACCTAGCATTAAAAACTTCAAGCATGGCATACAAAGGAAATTGAATTTAACCCTCTATACCCCATTCCATTGATGTCTTAGTACATTGTATTATTACCCTCTGATGCTAGACATGCATAGTAAAATCAAACAGCACTGAAAGAATCCAGCTTTGATGGAACCAACACCTGGTGTTAGACCGAGGGTGAAAAAAATTAAAGTAGGGTAAGTAAGTGCTATAATGGTAAAAGTGCATGAGAAATCCTTTTCCAGCTGATATAATTTCAGCAAATATACTAGATATATATAATATACATATTTGATTCAAAACATAGCTATAGTTTTTATAAATTGTGTGTTTAATAATTATTATTATATAATGGCATAATGCACTTGTTATTCAGAATAACTTTTATTCTATGACTATTGTAACTGAGACATGCACATTTAGCTGGGATATGCCTGGGTATTTATAAGCATTTATAATATAAGTGTGATATAACAGACGATCTGATTGGCTAATGCGCGTGCATTGTGACGCAATAATGCACTGTGATCACAAATGAGGTAAGTACAGATATGAGTCTCACGTCAAATTGCTGATTGTTTTGTGTCACACGGAACTCTCACTTCCGGCGAGCGCCGGCAAGTGTCGTTCTGAAATTTAATAAGGAAAGAGATAGGAAAACGCCGTTCGAAAGACTTGTTTTTTTTAGAAAGTCTACGCTACCGACGGCTATTTTTGGAATTAATTCTTCAAGAGTAACGGTAAGCGATCACTTTTATTGATTTCTTTTTATTAAAAGTGTTAATATAACATTTTATTTAGCAAAAGTTGTTTTTTTTCCTATCTACTTCTTATTAAAATCGTGAAATACACTTGCTGGGAATTTCAGATGCTGGTGTATAAATAACAAAACCGCGAATGATATAAATGCCTCAAAACATAGCTCTCGCATAAAAAAACATGAATACTTCTACAATACGTATAGTTTTATTCCTCTGCATTATCAAAATTTAATAAAATAGTGAATTAATACAATTTTAAAGTTTATTTAATCCGTGTGACATAATTTGCCGTGAGATTCATATCTGTACTTACCTCATCTGTGACTGTGATCTGTGGCACTGCTTTGCTCTTTCTCAGTTTTCTCCCCTCTTCATCACTTCACTGCTTTTTAGCCAAAAATATAAACAAAACTATAGAGCTTTTAAAATACAAAATTTACCAGAAAGCAAGAAGGAATAAAACAAAGGAACAAAGCAATTTTCTATAGTTCTAGCTATAAAATTAACCGGCTTGGCATTCGTCGAATTTGTTGTTGTCTCGACAAGTTTTGGGTATAAAAAAGCATACAAAATAGTCGAGAAAAAAACTTGAAAAAGATACAGCTGGAAGACCAAATACATACAAAAAGGCAACAAAAACTGAATATAAGTGATTTAGAAAGTACCTTCAATTCTTCTGATAATGACTGCTAGATATATTTTCGGCGAAAGACAAA